ATAGAGCGATTCATGAGAACAAAAGGGCCAGTTTGATTGGATAATTGGTACTGACACTTTGCACATTAGTGATATTGGACGGGAGAAAGTCTTTTGTTTTACTTGTCAGGTTAACTGTTTGCGGATAATAATTTGGATCTTATTCTCCAGTTTGTTTTCGCCTCGTGCTCGGACAGACATTCCTTTTGCAATGTTTCATTTTAAGTTTTCCTCTTCTCCGGATCCGCTATTGAACTGCTGTATCTGGTAAGCCTAAATAGTTAACGTAAGCGGCTGAAGCACTACTTCTCTTGTTAACTTATCTTGTCGATTTAGTCTGGTGTGCTGCAGCACTAAGCAGCACGAATGCTAGAATTTTTGGGATATTTAGCCTTCCCGTCTTGGCTTTTTGGCTAAACTGCTGAATAACCTGCCACTCTAAAGCAACCCCTAAAGATAGGTGAATACGCAGCTACTTTACCTGCTGGCAGAGGCCTCTTTTCCCTTGTAACCGGCGGGTGAGAATAGCACTGAGGAAAAGAGGCTTGTACTAGCAGGGAAGCGGATACTCATTCACTACGTATCTGCGTATACACTTGCTAAGTTTCTTTTAAATATGCGCGTATCCACGTTGAAATACACTTAAGACAGCGGATAAAGCGTACAGTATGTCTATTTGTCGTTCTAAAAGCCACCGAAGGTAGAAACGCGGATGAACGGGAATAACTGGTATCCACGTATCCAGCTCTTACGGGGATACAGCTTCGGATTGGCAGCCGTATTCTGTAGTGAGTTTTGTCTTGCCTGCGGAAGAAGCATTTCTTTTCGCGTTTTCCGGGCGAGCGAAGGCAAGCGAACGCGGCGACCTGAAATAAGTCTGTGTCCGCAAGCTATTTTTGAGCGTGATACACGGGCGATTGTGGAAGGCGCGAGAAATAAACGCCCCCTTCGCGAGCATCTCGCGCTCGCCTTCGGTCGCCTGAAAAACCTCGAAAAAATAACGCCTGTTCAAATTTTACGCTTAACACGGGATCAAAACAGCCTTCCTCCTCGTCCACTTTAAAAGGCTGGGGAGCGCGGAGTTAAATAGTAATGTGACTTTGGTGACTAGATCTGACTATTTTTGTTGTTTCCTTCAATTTTAAAAGCCTTTCAACCATGGTTAAGCCAGTTACCTTAGCATGTGGACACTCCGGATGTCAGAGCTGTTTAGCAACGGCGTTTGCCATGTCATCTTCACCAAAATGCCCTCTCTGCAAAAAGGTTTTCCCAAGTGGCGCCGCACTAAACGTCAACATCGTCCTTGATGACATAACTTCGAGACTGGAGATAAAGTGCACCAACAGTGGCTGTGAGTGGGTGGGGAAGCTTGTGAACCACTCACACCACTCTAACACTTGTGCAAAACTGCTTGTCGACTGTCAAAACAGAGGGTGCATGGAGAAGAAGCCGAGGGAGGACATGGGGCGGCACATTTCCCAATGCGAGAAGCAGGAGCTTCCTTGCCGCGACTGCGGGAAGCGCGTAACAAGGGATTCTATGCGCGAGCACAGTGAGTCTTTGTGCTCGCACAAAAGAATCCCCTGTCCGCTTAGCTGCGGAACAAATCTGCCACGGTAAGGCTTTTATACATAGCTTTGTATATATTTCACAAATATTATTCCTCGAGCTCGGATGGGCTCTGAGGCAATAGCTATAGCAATAGCCATGAGAGCTCGAGGAATAATTATTTTTGGTAAAATCCAGCTAGTTGGTGAAAAGTCCCAACATGGAAGGTGTTAGCCGACGTAACTTTACATTTTTAACTTCTATGTTTTCATAGATGTCACCTGACGCTTCATTTGAGCGAATGTTCCGAAAAGGCAGTGCAGTGTACAGTCACAGGCTGCAAGGCCATCACAAAGAGAAAAGACACCGAAGAACACATCGTTTCCGCCGCAGCCACACATTCCGTGCTTCAGGCGGGAGAAGTGCAAAAACTACGGGGTGTGATGCACTTTAAGGTTCGGTACAAATCTAGCTTATAATTATACAAATACAAACATTAAAGACTGCAAAGAAGCACGTATATAAACAAGAATTACTGTAACACCAACAATATTTTATTCATGTGTTGATTGTTAAAAAAGAAGAAATAGTGATTGCGCCTTTATATATTTTGTACAATCTTAAACTAGGAAGTATTTAAAAAACTTCAAAAGACAATCCTCGAACCAAATAGTTCGCTGCATAGGTTGCCATTATTTCTGCAATAAATTGAATATTATCTTTCCCTTTTCTGCAGAGACCCAAACCAGCGTGGTTTCTGGAGGAGGAGAATGTGTTCTCCTTCTGCTGGAAAACAAGTGGTTTAGATACCCTAACTGAATCCGGAGCGAGCACTGAATATCGCTGCCCTAACGGAAACAGGTGGAGAGGAATTCTGTCTGTCGAAGGAGGCCAACTCCACCTGCTGTCCCTACAGCTGGTGTCTTCTGTGACACCGGTAATAGTTGGAGCAAGGTAAGTGGGACTGTAGATAAACGATTGATAACAATACCTAGTTCTCGCCATTTAGCCCATCCACGGAGCCTCTTCACGGTTTCTATACCCCATAGATAAATTGCCAAGAATCCATAAACTAACAATATTAAAACAAAGAACTGAGGTAAAATATCATTGACTCGACTAAAGTTATACTTAGAAATGGTCATATTCACACTAGGGACGGATTATTATCCGTCTGAGACGGGTTATCCGATGAATAATTCGCGTCAGACAGATAATACGTTGAAAATGGAACGGTATTAATTTTGGATGGAGAAAATCCGCCCGACTTTCTCCATCTTTTTTTCCCGTGAATTTTGATAGAGTTTGAAGATAGATAACCCGTGTCTGTTGATTTAACAATTACGAATTTGTCGATACCTTTATATTCTTACACCAACATTTCCACCCCTTTTTTCAGTTGTAATTTTTACATTTTCGTCCATTAACTACAATTACGTTCTGCCTTTAGGATTGTATTGATGCCAGGAACAGCTTCGGAGAAGATTTTCTCCTTCGATGCCAGAGAAATCAAAGAGGGGGAGCTGGCTGGAAAAATTCCAGCAGTAGATTTTCGTTGCATTGTGACAGACGGGACAATGTCTGTAAAATATGTTATGTCATATTACATATTGAAAGAAGTTTAACTACAGTCTAGGCCCGGGGGGGGACTCCGTATATAAAAGGGGCGAGGATGCTCGTCGTCTCGCTTATATTTAGCCGTAAAGGTCTCTTTTAGGGTTGCACTCGCAGAAATATCAAAAATTTATGTCTTTTCAATTCGTATTATTTACTCGATTCAGTTAATACAAGTGTAAAATGATTGCTTTTACGGGTCAAAAAAAGGTTGGGCCACGCCCAGATTGGTCTCCTTTAGGGGTTTAATTCCAAATTTCCGACGACCATCTCCACCCCTTTCATACGCGGAGTCCCTCCCCCCCCGGGAGTCTAGGTCAAAATTTTTGGGACTCTTTGTTGTCTTCTTTTCCTTCCAATGTTGGTGCACAAGATTGGGTGAATTAAATGCGATAAACAACATTAGGAAGCAAGAAGTACAAAAACAGCGTTGGCTAAAAGTGTCCCAACTATTTTTTGCTGTGACTGATTTTCTCCAGGTTATAAATAAGTAGAAATGAAGACCTGTGTTTCACAATTTTTGTCGTCGCGGTCTTGACGTTTTTGGAAGTTCATGATTACCTGCTTTTTCTACGCCTATACACGACCTGGAAATAATAGTATTCCTCTCCAGGTCAATTTTTGGTAGTCAAAAACAAAATGTATGTGAAAAAAAAGGAATGTGTAGAAAGACCGAATGAAAGACATTTTTCGTTATTGTTTGTGACCTTAAAATTAATGCAGAGACGTCATTGAACCGGCCCCGGTTGTTCAATCGAATCATTCTTTATCCGGTGGGTAGCGCTATCCACCTTTTGAACAACTGGAGCCTGCTCTTTATTAACAACACTAGCTAAGACGTCTATGTTATTATGATCTTGTATAAGTACATTTTGACTTTCATCAAATTAGTGTCAAAACGATGACAACATATACCAAATATAGACAGGAATTTTAAGTGATTATTTTCGATTACAATAAGTGTACAATAACAGTTTGCTACTTCCGCTATGTAACACGATCAATCGCTTTTTGATAAAAATTGAAAAGACAACGTAAATGCAACTCATGTAATAAACACTTTATTTTTAACTTATAAGAAGGCTACATCATTAGACTTTAAAAGCCTTAAACCCCGTATTTTCTAAGCTTGGGGCGGGCTAAAGGCAAAGACCAGCAGTGACTGACCGCTACAAAAAAAAGGAGGGGCATTAGCGAATGTAGAGAAGTATCGTATCGTTTCGTTTTCATATACTGCAACAACTTCGAAGTTGTGAGAAAAAAAAAGGTTTAACGCTGCAAGCGGTTTCTTACTTTCAGTGCTTGTAATTGCCATAAGATCCACTATCCCAGTACCCAGTATCCCAGTATCCCAGTACCAGGGCTTTCGAGCGAAACAGACTCTATGACAGTTAAAGGTTTGGCCACATTTGGCTAGTTTCAATGAAAATTTTAAACACTCATATCGGTAATCCAGGACTAACTAAGACTTGCATGAGACAAAGCTCGACAATTCTCCCTCCCCGCCCTCCCCCAGAAAACTAGTTCTAGGCGACCGAGCTCGATTAGCCACACGTTAACGTAAACCGAGCTCGGTCCATTTAAACGCGGTTACGAGAACTCGAGCGCGATAGTGAGGCTTATCGAGCTCGATAACATTCAGTAATTGTCCCCCCGGAAAAGTGGGAGTCCTTGCTTCACCGTCCTCGACAATTCGAGCTCGGTATCGACATATCGAGGACGGTTTCCCGAGGTCGATTAGTTCATCGAGGCCGGTTGATATATCGACTTCGATAAACCCGTATCGAGCTCGGTTTCCCGAGGTCGATTTGTTTATCGAGGCGGGTTGACATATCGAGCTCGATAAAGTCGTATCGAGCTCGGTTGCCCAGATAACTAAACTGATCCTAAATTTCAATACTTTCCACACTTCTTCAGCTGCGCTCGTTTGGGACGACAACCGATCATAACGATGACCTAGAAAATACTTCATGTCAAGCCAACATGTAGTCTCCCTACATGGACCTAACGACTTCTCAACTGACACATCACGTGATCTTTAGATATGGTATATTCGCACGTACGTAGAGACTTACCTTTTGCTATGAATGTCTGTGAACAGTTTCGGAAACTATCAGTCATGAGGAACGCAAAGATTTCTTGTTGAAGAACAGGGTCGGCCTAATTAACAATTATTGCTCGAGCCCAAGAACGGGAAAAAGGCAATAGGTTTATAACAGCAAAACAACAACTTTGCACGCGCATCACGCTTTTTTTGTACATTTTTTAGCCGTCGTTGCACGACTACCACATGAAACTTCCTTACTCACACGCCCGCTGTTTGGAGTAGTGAAAAAAACACAAAATTTCCCGTTTTCTTTTTCGACACTTAGATACGGTCCTTCCGGATTCAACCTCAGAAAATTTCCCCAACAAAATTAATGAACAAATGAACTGAAATTGAATAAGATCAACGAAGTTTGAGACAGTGCGAATTCACTTTTGTGACGTTTTCGGTTTGTTGTCATTCAGAAATTTCGCTACCATGGCAACGCTCCCTCTACGACGAAAAATAATTCTTCACTTTCTCTCCCCCCATTTAGGCTTCTCTGCCATGCTTTCTATTTTATTTGTGGACTCCTGCTGCTGTTGAAACCATTCTGTGGAACAAAATGTTTCGCAAAAGTTGCTAAAAATTGCCGACACTTTGAAGCAAAAAAATGTTTTTTGAGCAACTTCCGACGAAATATAATTCTTCACTTTCTCTCCTCCCCCATTTAGGCTTCCCTGCTTTTCTGTTGCTTTGTAGCATCTTTTGGTTTTTGAGGAACAGCATTTTCTTTAAATTGATTAATTTCCGACTCCTAAACATCAACAAATTTGGCTGCCATTTTGAAAATAACTAGCCTTCAACGTTATAATCACCGCGCGGTAATTATGCCAGGATGAAGCGAAGCTTCTAGCCGCCAATCATAGCGCTCAATTTTCAATCATCAATGTAATTGTACTAATTTCACATAGACCATAATGCACCTTTACCCCCGAAATTTTGCATAACCACTGTCTTTGATTTCTCTTGGGACGACTGTGAAATACCCAGGAGAAATTGGAAACAATGGCCATGCAAAATTTTGGGAGGTAAACAAGGTGCATTGCATTATGGTCTATGTGAAAATGGTGACATGTACCTTTTTGAGGATGTACGTAAAAGTACACTGAAATTTTAATGTACCTTTCCGGAAAGAACAACTCTTCCTCATTTTCTTGCATTGAGTTTCCGTTTCTGTGCAAAACACTTACCTATGCGAATCACTTTTGGAAGGAAGTATGCTCTAAGCACTAAATTTCATCAGTTAAAAAAATTTGCAAAGATCGCACAGTTCAAAGCAAAATTCACCAATACGTAGGAGTTCGCGGAACACCAAGTAAAATGAGTCTAATTGTTTTCATGTGATGATATTTATCTTCACACATATACATATATGTTTTACTTTTAAGCTGAAGAATCTTTTAATTTATCCCAAACACCAAATTAAATTCCCATATTAATTTTTAGCGAAAACGTGCGCACCACGCAGTTAGTTTTAGTTAGTATGGCAGATGTAAAGCTACCCTGTAGAAATACTGTCAATAAATATAAATCGCTATTATCATTATTTTTATTTTCTACATGAAAGTTTGGTATATCCTAGAAGTGCTCTGGCATTCTAAAATGCCAGCACAAGTTTCCCTGAGCACTTCTAGGATACGATACTGATCAAATGGCATCCTCTCCTAAAACAAGACGATTTCCAATAACTTTAAATTTCTTTGGTCTTCTGTTGAAAGAAATGTTGTTTAAAGAGTTCTTAGTAAGCTATTTCACTACTCATAGTTTTACCTATAATACGTAATGGTAACTCGCTTCAAAAGGATGTACTATCCAGTTTTTTTCAAACTTGGCCCAATTGACAGCCATGTATAGTAAATTGAAATTTTGCAGTAAAGAGATGGGGTCAACGTGCTTGTTTTTTTTGCAAGTTGCCCACCAAATATCCAAAGCTGGAACAACCGTTGTTTCTCCTTAGGTTCCTAAATTTTCTCAGTCCTCTTCCTAAAAAAGTCCAGAGTTCCCATTGAAAAAAAATTCCGTAAAAAAGACAAAAACATCCACACAAGATTTTTTTCTATGGCGTAAGCGCTCGTCCCTTAAATCCGGGGACTTTTATTTGAAACTGTCAATCTTCCCGCGCGTAACGTAATTTCCGGTAAAAATGCACTTCCGGTTCGCTCTTACAAACAATTCTTTTAGAAAAAAGGCACAAGAAATAATCCTTAACATTTTCCCCCTCCTGGATTTACATTTGACTGAAAATCCAACACTTCAATCGATCTCTTTTACAAACATAACGCAAATTGTTCAAATGTTCCAATAACTGTTCAAATGTTCAAATGTCAAATGTTAAAATGTTCAATCTGTCAGGTTTAGACTTAAAATTCTCTGACTAAACAAATCATGAACTGTTCAACTGTTCCTACAAGTGTTCATGATGCAAATCTTTACGACCATAGCTAGTTAGTTCACTGTTCCGTCCGGTCACTTAGTAATCTTCAAATTCCAACGGTGAAATTCTGGAAATTGGTCTTCGTTTCACCCCTCCTTTGGTTCTAACGTCTACGACTCGTACTAGTCCATCTTTACCAGGATGCACTGCCTCTATTCGTCCAAGCTTCCAATCCCGTCTTGGTGCGTCTGGATCAATTACCAACACCACGTCCCCCACTGTTAGATTCTTTGAAGGTTGGAACCACTTTTGCCGGGATCCAATACTTGGCAAATACTCTCTCATCCAACGACTCCATACTCTACGAATCAGTTCCTGTATTCGTCTCCATCGTCTACGCACACTGACTGCCGTCGTATCGACTGTGTCTGGGGCTAGCTCTCCACCCATTTGGCCAATTAAGAAATGGTTTGGGGTCAGCACAGGCTCGTCATTGACATCTCCACTAAGTGTAGTTAAAGGCCTCGAATTTAACAAACTTTCGGCTC